GCTTGTTGTGACAGGGTGCCCACATCATTGTGACTCCTGAAGACGGCATCTATGGCTGGCGATTCACAAGAGAATCCATCTACCCCTACCTGGAGAATATCCCTGATCCAGTGGTGAATTGGATTCCCTGCACTGACCCCTCAAGGTGATTCCTTTTGCAATGGTTTAGGTGATTTCCACCTGTTATCTCATGGAGCCTTGAGCAACTCACATTGAGTTACTAAGAACTGCTAACAACTCTGATACAAGTTTCAATTAAAATTAAGTTTGAAGGAAGATAAATTGTTAAATAGCATGTCCATGACTAATTGATGAGGGAAACATGAAGATTTTTTTTGATTAAACACTTAGGAGAAAGTCAAACAACATACAGAATTTGGATTACTAAAAGTAGAGGAAATGTCTCTTTTTGATGCCAGAATATCCTGTTTCTCATTCTGCTTTCATTTTTTTCACACTCACTTGAATAGAATAGACTCTAAAAATTATTAACAGTAGTATTTATTTGATGTTTTGGTTTGTTTGTCTTTTACAAATGACATGTTGAAACAAAAGCACACAAACCATTTTTGTGGCAAGAAGTAGTCTCTGAGCAAGAGGTGATGAAGTCAGTAAATAAAGTCCAAACTTCTAAATTATAAAAACGCAGGAACTTTTAATCTTGGTTTTCCACAATTAAGGTAAGAGAAAGTCTGAATTGCTAGAGTCTCTGTGTTGTAGAACATGATCTGTCATTCAAGCAGCATATTCCAGCAGTGACAAAGTAAGCTATAGCCGAGCATTGGACTTCAGACTCCTACAGCTTGCAATACGTGTTCAGCTAGGGAATTACAGCTGGGGTCTGCCCTTTTCACCATGGCTTTCTGCACCTGCTTGATAAGGAGCAGGTTATTGTATCCGTGAGCATATAATAATTCAATGCTTCCAAGAAGAAGAGTCACAGTTGCACAAGATGTGCAACTTTTTGTTGAGATGTAAGTAGCTAAAGTATACAGTCTTTCATTGAAGGTAGAGTGTGGGGTAGCAGTGTGTCTAAGCATGTCTTTATTCTAGTGCATCAGACAGGTTTAGCAGAGGTGATCTGAGTCCCTTGTCACTGTTCCAAATCAGGGGTTTCATTAGCGGATTTTGGGACTATAACCCTTGCCATCACTGTCTGGCATGCCTTATTCCTGGTGCTGTATATGTATCATGCATGGAGGTCCTCCTTTTTACACCCTTCACAGCCGTAGGCATTGCCACACTACAAAGGGGAATGAATGGCTGCTCTCTTTATGGCCTGGTATGGATGCTTCAGAGGTGCTGCCACTTTCTGGCACATGGGCCCTGTCATATCTCAAAATTAATAACCATGGTTACAGGTCTGTGCACTCCTGTCTATGGGAGGAAATGAATTGCTGAATTACCTTAACCATATAATCTGCATGATCCCACAGCTCAACCCTGCTTAGCGTCCTAAGGACCCAGAGCTGCAGTCCTCAGGTGCCAGTATGCCTGATGCTAAAATATCTGCTTGTGTGACATCAAGCTAGTGTCTTCCGCTGCCCAGAGATTGCTCTCCTGCCCTTTCCCAGCCTGAGGATTACCAGTTTACTGCAGAGCATATTCCAGGTGCTGAAGTGGACTGGCAGGCATGTCCCTGCAGAGGCCAGTGGGAGGCTTCCAGGGCCTACCGCAAGGTGCAAGAAGTAATCTGAGGAAGCACTGCAGCAACTCTGTGTATCTGCCGTGGCTGCAGGATTGGAGATGCTGCTGGTGTGACCTCAAGTACTCTGGAAATGGACACCACCGACAGCACAGGGTTTGTTAATTTTGTTTTTCTCCTTCCCTAAAATGCCATAGATTTGGTCCAGCACCAGTGCAGGAACGACTCAGCTGCATGGCCAGAAATAACTCCATCTATGTGGTTGCAAATATCGGGGACAAGAAGCCGTGTGACTCCAGCGATCCCAGCTGCCCCAGGGACGGTCGCTACCAGTACAACACGGATGTCGTCTTTGACGCACAGGGCAAACTGGTGGCTCGGTACCATAAGGTAAAGTGGTCTTGGAGAGACAGAAATTAATTTTCCACTACTTCCAGAATGTCTCAGTTTGGGAAGAGAATTAGATACCAGTCATTGTCCACTGGCAGAGTTTTGTTTTTCTTTATAATTTAAAAGAATATCTCTCTTGCTATGAAGTGTCAATCCCAAATTTGCATTTGCTGTCATGTTTCTTAAAACAGACTGGAGTGAAAAATGATTGTTGTGGTGCAATTTAGTGTCATATGGTTTTGGTTGACTTCCTCAGTTCATTAGCTCACTACTACTGCAACTTCTGCTACTTGAGCAGCTTCAGTTTTCAGTGCCAGCTTTTCACCAGACTACCATTTAATGTTCCTGGATTTCAATGTTCACATCTATTTCATGGTAGATGAGCAGTCTGATTTCAGAGAGGCATGACCATTTTTTCTGATGCTGTTTTGGCACAGTTTTTGCACAATGGGAATTATTTGGACAAAATGATGGTCCTAAGATGGGTGTAAAAAGAGATAAGGATATTGAAACATTTGCAGCAGATGGAAGTTCTTCTTTCAGTATTATGTGCCTACCTGCAAGTTCCATCCAAGCTGTTTATGAATCATGTGCCAGATATCATGCCAATGTGGGTAGAGTGAAGTCAGTTTATTTAATGTGCTTTGGGCCCAGTATTTCATCTGGTTGTTTACAGACAATGTCAAGATATCTATTTGTGAGCAAACTGGGTGAGTGAAACACTGATAATGCAAATCTGTCCCCCAGCCTGCTATGGCTCATGTGCTGAATTACAAGTTAAGTAAACTTGAACTTCTTTTCTGGTGTGGTGTCCATATTTACTTTCAGACCACCTGGATATTTATAAAGTACTCTTAATAAATATGCATGTGAAGGAAGAAGGAAAATGTTGGAAAACTGAGAGCATCACAAACTTCAGTTTTTCTGTTGGCTGAGATCATCTGCCTTTCCTCCATCAGCACAGCCTTTGTTTTCTTCTATGCATTATCCCAAATACTGTCCTGTGCTTCCTGCTGGTTCTCTGTACTTTCAGTGCTTCTGGGCACCTCCACACCAAAGTCACCAATTTTGTCTCTTGGCACCAGATTCCCCGCACTTCTCTTACATTACTATTTCTCTTCTGGTTGCATTTGGGTTGCCAGAAATATAAACTAGGTGGGGGAAGTGGAGAGATTATTCTTACAGAGATGACACCAACAGACCTGAAGGCAGCTGGCTGCTTTCCTAGCTAGATGCCAGGGCAATATGTAATATGTGTTCCATATTTTGGGTACGATGAAAATATAATATTAGCCAGATTTCCTACTTTTGAGGGCTTCCAACACAGGTCAAAAATTTTCTTTAGTCATTCTGAACAGTTTTAGGGAATGATTCCAAGACACATGGTTATTAAGTACCTCTAACTCGTTTCTTTATTTTCCTTCCCCTACAGTATAATCTCTTCCTAGGAGAAGATCAGTTTAATTATCCAAAAGAGCCAGAAGCTGTCACCTTTGAGACTCCTTTCGGAAAGTTTGGCATTTTCACTTGCTTTGACATCCTTTTCTATGAGCCTGCTGTGGTCCTGGTGAGCAAGATGCAGGTGGACACCGTGCTCTTCCCAACAGCTTGGATGAATGTCCTGCCCTTTCTGACTGCAATTGAGTTTCACTCTGCTTGGGCTATGGGCATGCGTGTCAATGTCTTAGCTGCCAATACTCACAACACTAGCATGGAAATGACAGGTAACTTAATTTTCACTCTGTGCAAGAATCTTTATAACCAAGAATCTCTTATTCCCCATTCTACAAAATAATTTTGCAGAGCAATATAATGTATTTCTCTGGAAGGTGAAGAGTCTATTTTCAAATTTCAAAGCTGATTGATCCTATTCCTATTGGTTTCATAAAGACACAACAAGACTTGTAGTGTTTTATTTTCCCTAGTTTCTTAGGATTATCTTTTCTTTTAATGCCTCTAAATAAGTAGTAGGTCACTGCCCTTATACCTGAATAGAAATTTTTGTGGTTTTTAAGGCATTTTCCGTCTGCACTTCTAAGTCTATGATTGAATGCCAAACTGTGAATACACTCGTCAACCATATATGTGGCTACATATATTCTGCCAAATTAGATATTTATTTTTATACCTGTTACAGAAAACCATTAAAAACACATGTTCAGGCCTGTTGTAGTAACATTGCTAAGATGTCCACATCTTCATTTTAGAATGTAGCATTGATTTTTTAAACCTCAGCTTACACAACAGTATATTTCAGCTACACCAGTATCTTCACTGAACTGTGCAACCACAGTATTGTTTTGAGACTTTTCATGTGAAATGCCTGACAGGCTTCTGCAGTGATGGGTGTGACAGACCTTTGATTTCCCTCTGTTGCTTGGTGCTAGTCAGATGTGAATCACTCATGAGGGGAGGAGTTTGCAGCCAGTGTAAAGGGGGCTGGACAATTGCTGTCTCCTGTTCACGGACAGGCCTGGGATAGTTTCCTGCATTGTGTTTTGGATTGTCTCAACCAGTAGCTGGTCCTTTCACATCAATCAGCCAAGAAAAAAGGAGCTATCAGCTCCATTGCATACAGGAGAAAAGATAACTGAGGAGGCCATAAATATAACGTAACATAAAAAACCAAACATCCTCTGCCTCTGGCTACACTGAGAAGACCTTATTTAAGGGAATAAATGCTATTATTTGCCAAAGCATGAGCTCTGTGTACTGAGTTGCTGATGGTCACCTTTGATGAGACTGAAATACCTATAATCTGTGTAGAAGAGTGGATAAGCTATCAGTAGAGACAATTAGAAGGATAACATGATTTTTTAAATTCTTCTTGGGTTGACTATTGTGTTCTCCACAGGGAGTGGCATTTATGCACCAGCTGGAGCCAGAACATACTCCTACAACAAGAAAACAGAAGATGGCCACCTCCTCATTGCTGAACTAGATGCACACCCTCGTCTTTCTCCTGTCTCCCCACCTGCTGTCAGCTGGAACTCATATGCTTTGAGTGTTGAAAGATTCTCACAGAATGACCATGAATTCACAGGAATCATCTTTGAAGACCTCTTTACTTTCACGGAGCTCACTAAGCCTGGGGAGAATCTTACTGTCTGCCAAAAAAACCTCTGCTGTCACTTGAGCTACAAGATGGCAGAGAAAAGAGATGATGAAGTTTATGTGCTGGGTGCTTTTGATGGCCTTCATGTTATTGAAGGACAGTACTATCTGCAGGTAATTTTTTGGAGGGGGTTACTTACTTTAGGAAGCCTATTTACAGGGAGAAACCTGTGGTGGAAAAAAGAGAAGACAATGTCTCTCTTCTGTGCTGGAGTCCTAAGTGCACCTTTTGTTAGTAACAGAAAGAAGTTGCTAAAACTTCCAAGCCTATTTGCCTTAAAATCCAACAAATGCAGTAGAGAGGTCTCTAAACCTCTTTTAAATGCCCAGAGTACACTTACTATTTTTAGAGGTGTGCATTATTGGCTAAATTTAAGTTCTCTTCTGTGAATATCTGCAATTAATCTCCTCTGTATCACAGAATCACAGAATAGTTAGGATTGAAAGGGACATCTGAAGATCACATAGTCCAATTCTCCTGCCGAGGCAAGGTTACCTAGAGCAGATTACATAGAAACACATCTGGGTGGCTTTTGAGTGTCTCCAGAGAGAAAGAATCCAAGACCTCCCTGGGCAGCCTGTTCTGATGCTCTGCCACCCTAAATGTAAAAAAGTTCTTCCTCATGTTGAGGTGAAACTTCTTGTGTTTTAATGGCCATTTTGCTCCTCATGCTGTCACTGGGCACCACTGAAAAGAGCCTGGCACCATCTTCTTATCTCACACCTTTGAGATATTTGTATGTATTGATGAGACCCCTCAGTCTTCTCTAGACTTAACCAGCCCAGCTCCTGCAGTCTCTCCTCATAAGAAAGATGCTCCATCATCTTTGTGGCCTCAGCCAGACACTTTCCAGTAGCTCCTTTTCTTATATGGGCTGAGGAGCCTGAGCACAGTACTCCAGATGTGGTCTCACTGTACTTTCATCAAAGAATGATGTTAAAAATCAGTTGATCATAGCTATCTTTATGAGATACTCTGCTAAGTTAGGGTCACAGAGATGTTAACTTTTTGTCATTATCCAAATCATAGCAATGAAGCTTACTTAAATAGCTTATGACTTTTAGTGGAAATATCCTCTCTTCCTCTCTTTTAATCAAATATTTGGAAAGACAGTGAGTTACATCCTTGTTGAATTTGCTTAAAGCCATATTTGGAAACATCCTTTGCCTTCATAATTATGTTACTGTGCCAGCAGATTATACTTTTGTGTAGTTACTTCTGCCTGTCAGCATTACCATTTTGTACCAGCTAGTACAGACCTCGGGATATGAGAGGAGGTGTTATCCAGAAAACAGCTCATCTAATACTACGAAGGTAGCTTGAATAAATTCAGTTCTTGGTGAGTATTGAAAGTTCTAGAGAATACAGTAATTTCTACTCTTCCTTTTTCCCCTCAATATCTTTTCATTTCCTCAGAACATATTCCTTATTTCTCTGCTTATTTGCATTTCAACACAAAACTATATTTGCTGATGAATAATACTTTTGATTTTTTGCAAACATGCTTCTGTCCCCCAATACCAGACATGTAGAAAAACTCTATCACCTATTAGCAAAACCAGACAACATGCTTTAAATCATTCCTGAATCAGAGGAGTGCTAGCCCTATTTCATATTTCCTCATGAAGACCATAAATATTTATCAGCTGGATAATTAACTCTCATGACAAAAGGGAAACAACATTGTGATTCTTACTTTATGTGCTGCAACTACTAACACGAAACCGTAACAAAATATGCTAACTCCTTGGTCTATATTAATTAGGATTTGGACAGGGAACATCAAATTCAGATTTCCCATGGACTACCAGGCCATCTAATGAAGTACCACCATCAACATGTACAATTAGCAGTAAGAAGACCTGGATGTGCACTTGTATAATGTACCTATGTGGAAGACTTTGTTTACTTTGCCTAGAATTTCCATTCACAAACACATCTTCTAAGACATGTGGGAAAGAAACATTCAAATAAGACGACTGGCAATTGAAAGAATTAGTGGAAGGGACAGAATCGGGTTTCAGATATGAAATAAGGTGCTTAGGCTGCACTTATGTCAGAGACAATTTATTTATAAAATTATTAGACTAAGGGTCTAGAAGGTCTGGAATACACCCAATCAGATCAAGGGGTAAAAAAATAAGCTACAACTGAAAAGGAGTCACCCAAGAATTATGAAAACGATGATCCTGTGACTATCACCTGCTCTGACACACATTAGATTTGATGACACAAGGCTTTCCTACCGGTGTTACTGTCTTGCTAAATACATTGTCTCCTCCTCCCCGCAGATCTGCACCCTGCTCAAGTGCCCCAGCACAAACCTGAGCACGTGTGGGCAGCCTGTGGAGACAGCTCAGACCAAGTTTGAGATGTTCTCCCTCAGTGGCACGTTTGGCACCAGCTACGTCTTCCCAGAAGTGTTGTACAGCGGGGTGCAGCTGGCCCCTGGGGAGTTCAAGGTAATGGGACACCCTTGTGATTTGTCAGACATCAGTGGTCAAAAACCCACTACAAGAGCAACTTAGTTGTTACCAGAGTCCTCTGTCCTCTGCCTTGAGTTCAAGGCAGCTTTATTTCTGCCTGATTTTCCTGATTGTATTCAAACAGTAAGTCCACCTTGCCAATTCTCTTCTGCCCTGTTCCCCCAAATCGTCTAGAACAAGACCTCCCTCAAGACAGAAATGTAGTTTTTCTCAGACTTCCTGCTAGCTCCAATTGAGACTGAAGCTCTCTCAACTAGATCAACATTCCTGAATGTATGATTTTATGTTTGCCATACAATAGTACTGCTTTAAAGCTGCTCTTGCTTAATTTATTTTTTCATAACCAGGTGCTAGCTGATGGACGTCTGATAAATCAGAACACTACATCAAAGCCAGTTTTGACTGTAACACTCTATGGGAGGTGGTATGAAAAGGACCCTCCAAGCACGGATCAAGCTTCAGCATGATTTCACTGTAGATCCTTCAAGCCTTCATCTGCTCATTTCTGTAATGCAAATTAATCACAAATGATATTAATTAATACTAAACATGTTAATTAATACTAATATTTCTAATTATAACAGCATTGTATTCCTCAATTTGCCTTATCTAACAGCATAGTCATTGCACATTGATTTATTGACTTGATTTTGCAGCCAAAATCAATATTCTTCTGGAGTGTTGTGGATTTCTATATGATAACATACGTTGGCATAGGCTTGGACTTAACACTGGGAATAATAGAAAATAAATTCCTCTGACTTTAGTGGTGTAGGATTCAGTAGGGTTGTGCCCCAATAAAATCAGTTTTTAATTATTTGAAATTTTCGTTGGAGTACTAGCAGCCATTTTCACAATGCTGTTCACACCCCATTGCTGAACAGGCACTTTTGTGAACAAGAGATTACCACAACCTTTGAAAGTTCTAATTTCCTTTGAAAAAGAAACCAAGTCTTGAAAATATGTACCTTCAAAAAACAGTTATTCAGCTCAGCACACAGCAATGCATTATCATACAAGGACATGTACTTCCTGAGAGAGTAGTCTACATTAACCTTTCTGGCCACATTTTTAGGATGTGGAAAATCTCCCTAACACAGAATTGTTGATAACTCTTTGTGTCACAAATGCTCAAACCAAGCAATTTCTCAGGAGCATGTCTGTGTTCCCATGGAAGAGTTGCTGCTACCAGGGCAAGGGAGAACTGGGATGGTGCCAGCAGGTGTTGGGTAAGGGAAGTGAAGAGCTGGAGCAGGTGGGACACGCTGGCACTTGTGAGGATGTGGGCCCTGCCGACTGTACTTCTTAGGCAACTAGACTGGATTACTTTGTGTTTCCCAGCTGAGAGTTCTATGTGTGCCTAATTCAGTTGTTTCTTCTGCAGGTTTGTTTTGAAGCACAGACATTGTTTATACTTAATCTGACCAACATCATTTAAAAATCCAGACTCACAGGAGGCAGAATACATTGGGTTTTTTTGACAAGGCAATATCCTAAAAATAGGATTGTAGTCCGTGAAAGTATCAAACTCAAGCTCTCTACATTCATTTAGTAGGAGTAATGGCAAACATGCGAGGAGGAAAAGCACTGTATCTTTAAATCTCTACCTGCGCCCTAGGAAAAGCTGTCCTGTTAGGGCACAAGTGAGATAACTACGTGCTCCTGCCAGAAGCGAGCGCCTCTGACTTCCCGGCTCTGCTCACATGTACTCAGTGCTCGGCAGTGATTGCGCGGCCGCCCCAGCGACCTTTCACAGCCTTCTCCAGGCACGGTTAACCCTTGGGATGCGCAGCAGTCTTCCTCACGCTCTCCTCTCGCTAAGCGCAAGGAAAGAAGCCGGAACACAGTCTGACCACAGACTCCCTCTACAGCTAAGCTGATTTAGCACCAAATTGCATTCTGCTTCCCAAAGTAAATCTTCATGTAGCCCCTAACATCAGGCGGTAGCAGCGAAGGGGGCAGGTGCAGTACAGGGATGGGAAGAGTGGATTGGGAGGAGAGAAATGTGGAAAGTAGGCGGGCTCTAGATAAGTTTCCCTTTACATTGTCCGCAGCCACGTAGAGCCCCGACCACTGCAGTTTTCTTCAGTTTCTTCGGTGGATTTGTTTGTTTACCTGGTGTCAGTTCCTTGTTCCTGGGCGAGCTCCCAGCTCCGCAGGAAATAGGGAGCGGTGCCTGCTGGAACAGAGGCAAACAGGGAGAGCTGCACTGCACCGTGTCCCGGCAGTGGGACTTGAATTCTGCTGGGCATTCTCCAAGCACTGCACTTGTAAATATTTTCTGCTCAGCCCTGGCAGGGCAGTCACCTTTCCGGCTGATGTCCTCACTATTGCTAAACAAGGGAGCATTTGCTGCTTCCTCTTTCACACTGATGTCTGACTGTGCTTAATGTGACTCAACCTATATTTCATGTGGTAAAAACGTGAGGCAGAGAGGGAGGAAGGCTTCCAAGGTACATTAGTTCAAGTATCACCGAGATCTCTACTGCAGCCTTAAAAAGGCTTGTCTTTAAGCTACTGAATGAGCATGCTGCATCTAGTCATGTGTGACTTAGGGATGAACATTACTAGATAAAAATCCAAATACCTAATGATTGAAACCCTCAGTCAGCACTACGCTGTGAGAGAACTCTGTGGTATCTGCATTCATCTGCTGGTCTGTGTTTTCTGAACCAGCACTACAGTGGCAGTCTGCTGTAGCTGCAAGCAGCCAGCCTGTTCCCACTGCTCACATAGCCTTTTTCAGATGAGAACACTGCAAGGACTAGAAGGTCAAAAATGGAAAATGTAATTAGAACAAATTTATTTGAAATGAATTGAAGTTTAAAATGAAGGCCTCTCAATACACTGCAGCTTCCTGTGGACAGAAAATGTGCAGAGGAGCAGGCATGCTACTGCACCTGGTGAACTAGCCTGCTCTTTTGTTTCAGGCTAGTGAGAGACAGGCAATGAGGTACTTACATACCTTATTTCAGAGGAAAAATTCTATCCAGATTCACATTATCTGGTGGAAGGCTGTTGGAAAGTGATTCTCAGCTAAACAGAAGTGACTGGCAGAGACACTGGGATGAGTTCAAGGGACAGTTTTGTTGCTGGCATGCTGGGTACATGGCATCTAAGTACAGTGATATGCTAATGCAATTTCTTTGGTCTAGAGAAACTCAAATGCAAACTGCACATACTGACACTTAGCACCGGAACTGAGGAATATGAAGATGTTAGCATAAATAAGCTTTTAAGACACCCTGGAGCTGTGTCTTGCTAGGTCCTCTGCAAGACAGCAATGGAATAAACTGTCTCAAAGCAACCACAGTGAACCAGCTCATAGTGATTAATCCAACCTATGAAATACCTTCTAATGAAATCACTAGTAAGAGATATGGTCTGACGTACTTTGTTCCTGTTTTGTCGCATTTTTCTGATCTCTTAATGTGTTCTTATGGGTACTCCTCTAATAAGCTTGTTTCACATTCTTCAATCATGTCCTGAATCATGGACACTTGATAAGTAAGGAAAAAACCTGCTACATCAGTCATTACTGTGATGCTTTTTGGATGGTGAAGCAAGGATCATCTGAAAGAAGACCCACAACCAACATGCCTCCCCTTGATTTATCCATAACTGAAGCTCTACATTATTATTCTTATGTCCATATGGGATGTAGCATAACCTACAACAACAATCCCGATTATGTTTCTCATTTCCAGTTGCAACAGCTCATCAATGTGTTTGGTTTAGTAATAATGTGGTAATATTATCTTATTACTACTATTTATTGAGAAGGATCTATTTCTATGTCATAAGATTACTAATATGTTATTAGTTCAAAACAGCAGTTGTTTTTCTCTGCTGGATTTTTATTTTTCTAACCCTCAGAAAGCCTGAATTGTATCCCACAGTGTACATTCTTATTAAAAAAGCATTTAATATTTTTTCATGGCAGATTATTGATGGGATCAGTAAATAAATTAGTGAAAGATGTGATTTGTGGCAGGTCTATACACATGCTCAATATTTCTTTGTCTCTGGAATATGGCTTATACTGTCTTATGCCAGTCTGCTCTTTTACCACAATTAGACCCTTTTTCCCGTATTTGTGTTGCTTTGGTTTTATATCCTTTATGCTATTGGTGCCTATCACTGTGTAGGAAATGGCAACACAGTGCATCATGGAAGCTGAACGAGGACTCCAGTCAAAGAGACCCTCCTGAAACAAAATGTGCCACCACTTTTTCATCAGAACATGATTTGAAACATTATTCATATGAAACCTCTGTTAAAACAAAACTTAGAATTGAAACCTCTGGTTGTCAGTTCTGAAAAACAGCTTGATGACACTTCCTGACTGCACTGGATGCTATTCAGTGACAGAATTTTTACTGCAACTAGTGAAAAAGTCACTGAGTGATCTGGTATCTCATAGCAGCTCCTCCCTCCCATCTTCTCTGTTTCTTTCTGGTCAGTTAACACCAATGTATGTGAAATAATTCCTCCTTCTTGTTAATGCTGGGTGGTGCTGCCCTGCAGATTAATTTTCTCTAGGAATTTGGGGATTTAGAATTCTATTTCAGACCAGCTAGTCCTGGTGAGATGGCACTGTTCACATTTTTGCTTTCTCTTCTCTCCAGTGGCTTGTGTTTTGTTGATGCTGCTGGACCTTAGCGACCTTCTTTCAGCACATCAGTGTATAAAGATGTTCATGTTCTATGTCTGTGTCCTTAAGAGTGGTTAGAGACCTCTGTTTGTGTAATTTCTCCTTGCTTTTCCCCACATTGTTACCACTGCTGGTCTCACCATGGAATCATAGAATCTTCAGGGTTGGAAGAGACCTCTGAAATCATCCAGTCCCAATGTAAACTTGGAATTGCCACTGTAACCACTAAACCACCATGCAGTGCCATATCCAGACCCCTCTTAAACATCTCTGGGGCTCCACCACCTCCTTGCACAACCTATTCCAATGCCTGACCACCTGTACAGTGAAAAAAAAATTTCCTAATATCTAACCTGAATCTTCTCTGTCCCAATGTAAGGCCATTACCTCTGGTCCTCTCACTGCAGGCACAGTAGGAGAGATAAGTCCCCACCTCATTGCAAACTCCTACTAAACAAATCCAACTCCCTCAGCTGTTCCTCATAATGCATGTTTTCTAGACCTTCCAGGAGCCTTGTTGCCCTTCTTTGGACAGGCTCCAGCGCCTCAACGTCCTTGTTAAAAGTGAGAGTTCCAGAATGGAGCACAGCACTCAAGATGCAGCCTCACCAGTGCTGAGTACAGCAGATGATCACTTCCCTTGTCCTGCTGGCCACACTGTTCTTCTTACAGGCCCAGATGCCATTGATCTTCTTGGCCACCTGGGCACACTGCTGGCTCATACTGAGCCAGCTGTCAGCAAGCACTCCCAGGTCCATTTCTGCCAAACAGCTCCGGAGACACTTCTCCTCCAGCCTGTAGCACTACCTGGGATTACTGTGACCCAGGTGCAGGACCCAGTACGTCACCTTCTTTAATCTCCTTCAATTGTCCTTAGCCATTGGTTGAGTCTGTCCAGGTCTCTCTGTAAACCCTTCCTACCCTCACACAGATCAACACTTCCACCCAACTTTGTGTCATCTAGCCATTTTTTTACCCACCCAAGATTTTTACTGTGATGCTGTCAAGGTCCTGAATCCCATGTTCTGGAGCTGGTGAGACACTGGGAGTGCAAAAT